CAGGTCTGTTCAAACAGCATGTTTGCAGACAGTTTGTATTTTTTTACTCGTCCCTTACTGTGAGGGAGCAGACTTCATAGTCAGCTCTTCTCTGCGGTTGCTTTAGATGACCATATTTCTCCAGTGAAATATTGCATCCGATAGCAATAGTTGGCAGTTAACCTCACTAACATATTAAAAACTACAAAGAATATGTTGCTCAGTGAGCTTTAAACAAACCAACCATTTTTTCTGAATTCGATTTTAACCAAGTCTGGAGTCTCACTCTAAACCAACACGTGAAATCTGTTGAGAAACAGCTGTCATATGTTTCAGCGTGTTGCGGCTGTGCGATGTGGCATTGAGCCGACCCTGCTGAGCTTCTCCCATTAAAGTAAAGACATTCACCCGGCTCTGGGTATGGTGGTAAATACTTCTGCTGCTCTGGAGAATCGTCTGTTTTTCTGGAGAATTGTCATTATCTCAACATGACTCAAATACCAAAACATAAAACTCACTTTTAGTTTTTCTCTCAACTGACTGTGCTGCTGCTCTCCTGCCAGCCAATCTTTTATCTTTTTTTTTCTGACCTAATAAAATGATATAAAATGTATTCATTCGTAATATAAAACAGGTAGTTCTTGCTCAAAATCTCTCTCTTTCATTCAAATGTTTCACAACTTGCAATAGCAGTAAACTCAGCAGGGGTAGTCTGCGTCGTTAGGAAGCCAAGCATATACAAAAAAAACACACTCTGGACAGTTCACCTCAGGATTAACACAGAGGGCTAGACAACAATCACATTCTCACTCAACATTTAGTCAATTTAGGATCCCTGACTAACCTAAAAGGCATGTCTGTAGACTGTGAGAGTCATATGCGACTAAGAAACCTACTGGAATCAGACCGCAGACACTGCATACTTTAAGGACTGTAAAATCATTACCAGGAGTGTGAAAACAAGTTTTTAAGCCCTTTTAAGAACAAAAAATCTGAAACATTTTTAAGCATTTTCCTTTTTTTCCACTCATCAGTCACTCTATGCATGCAGTTTTCATCTTCTACTACCGCTGAAATAAAGTTAATTTTGATCATAACTAAAGTAACAGAGTAACTACCTGGAGATCTTCAAGATGGCATTTGAGTGTCGAGCTCTGCTTATTGACAGACTTTGGCTTGATGGTTGGGTGTAATGCTTTCCGAAATAACCCGTTACTGTAATCACATTACATTTTTCTTTAATACAGTAATGTAATATTTTATTGTACTAAATTCAGTAATCACATTGCATTACGCTGGTTCTTCAGCTATCTGTTTGCCTGGCAGACAAAAACATCCTTCAGACTTGTGCTGCTCTTGTTTTTGTGCAGCGAGCAGGACAACAGCAGAGAACTCAACCAGTTTTTATTACATGAAAGAACAAGAGCACAACGGTAAAGCGCAAACTACGTCCAGGACAGAAACAACTGCATCATACACAACACTGCATCTTTGCATGTCAACAAAAAGCCAGCAAAGAGCTCAGAGGGATATTCAGAATCAAAATCAGGAATGCTATAATCCCGAAGGAAATTATAGGTTACAGCCAGTGTTGGGAAGGTTACTTTTAAAATGTATTCCATTACAGAATACATGCCCCAAAATGTATTCTGTAACGTATTC